TTCCTTGCCCGGGTTCGACAGAAACTGGCTTACAACCCCGACTGCATGAGCAAGGTCGGGCCTTGTGCATATCATGGCATACATAAGACTGCCTACAATTGACTGATATGGAACCTTAGATATCTCATCTCTTTCTTCTTGACTGGTTGGATCCTATTTCTGACTCCACGTGAAGTGTCCAGCCAGAGGAGTGTTGAGACCATCTTGGATTGGTCTATATTGAACCCCTTTAGGATTTTCTTTATGTATTTCTCTTGAGATAGCCACAACAGTTTCTTTGAACGATCCCAGCCAATCTTCAAACCGAGAATCTGCCTTGCTGGGCCAAGATCTTTTATAGTGAATGACTTGCTCAAGGCTTTCTTGAGGGCATTAATCTTCATCGTGTTTTTTGCCACTATTAGTATGACATCTACGTAGAGTAAGAGGATGATGACGTCGGCATCATACCTCTTGATAAAAACACAATGATCTGCTTGAGTCTTCTTAAAGTCGTGTTGAGTCATGAAGGACTCGAACTTTCTGTACCACTGCCAGGGTGCTTGCTTCAGACCGTACAAATTCTTTTTAAGTCGGCATGCCAATTGTTCTTTACATGAAACTTCAAAACCTTCAAGTTGTTCCATGTATATTTATTCTTCCAAGTCTCTATGAGGAAAGGCTTTCTTAACATCCAGCTATTCGACCTCCAAGTCTTGAGTGGCCGCTATGCGTAGAACAGTTCAGTTTGACACCATCTTCACCATTGGTAAGAATATCTCCTCAAAGTGTATGGCTTTCTTTTGATTGCATCCTTTTACTATAATCAAGGCTTTATACCTCGCTTCGGGTTGTTCTCTTCCACCTTGAGTTATTATACCCATTTGTTCTTCAAGCTCGTCTGCCCTTTGATAACTCGACCAAATCAAAGGTGTGATTCTCATACAAAGATTTCATTTCATCTTGCATGGCTTTCTCCACTCTTCCTTTCCATCACTATTCACTGCATCTTCATAATTCTGAGGCTTTCCTTCTTCTGCAACGACTCTATACTCATCTGCACGATATCTAGTGGAAGGGCGTCTAACTCGAATGGATTACCGAGTTTGTGATTTCTCCTAAGAACCCGGTTCTTCTATTTCATCTCGGACTTCCAGATGTTCTGATACTGTCTCACCTTTAGTTGGTGGCTCATCATGTTGTCCACCCTCAGTGATCTATTGATTAGATTCTTCCCCTGCTTCAGCTCGAATAGGGGAGACGGGGTCTTCATGACTAACAACAATTCGGATCTTGGGCTTTTTATGTCCTCAATAGTCTGACTCTCCATGAACACTATCTCTCGGCTCGTCACAACCTTCTTGTTGATGAGGTCCCAAAGACGATAGCTAAACTCCTCCTTTGGTGAGCCGAGATAAACACACTCCTTGGTCTTAGCATCCAGTGATAAACCCTTAGTTCATCAGGTTTTTAAGCATGAATTAGTATCAATTTGTGTGATTAAATGGATGAAAAAGAGGTTAATGTCCTGGAAAACCCTTAAGTACAAGTTCTGAAAGCTTTGTTGAAAATTTACATTGTCTTGTAGGAAAATGAAGCTCAAGGAGCAATAGAGAAAAGAAAGAAGATTCTGAAGAAAGAGGGAATGCTAAGTGTTGAGCGCTAAAACGTCCAAACAGAACGTTTTAGTGCGCTACTACAAACTGAAGACAAAAAGTGCTGGTGATGAGCGCTAAAACTTCCTGATCAAACGTTTTAGCGCTTTGCTATTGGAAAAGTTTTTGGTCTTGAACGCTAAAACGTCCAATTCAAATGTTTTAGCGTTGAAGACAGTTAAAAGAAGTTGGGCATCCGTCAAACATGGACGCTAAAACGTCCAACGGTGAACGTTTTAGCGCCCATGTCAGTTTCTGGTTATTATTCAGTTGTATTTTGTGACTCTATAAAAGGGCAAGTGCCTTCACATTCTCTATCATCATATCTCAGATCCTCTGATCTGACTCTTCACTTTCTTTGACTTTCTAAATTCTTTAGGATTAGTTTTTGTATTAGTTAGTACATTTTATGTAATTGTAATTGAAGATTGAAGACTCAACCATCATGACAATGGAGTTTGATCTTTTCTCTTCTCTTGTTTATTCTTTAATTATGTCTGAGTAGAGTCCTTTGTAGTCTGATTCAATGGAACTCAAGTGTGAATTTATGAATGGTTAATTGTATACTTTGTTTATCTTTTATGTGATGATATGAAGTTGACTTTATTAATTCTTTCTATCAAGGGAATAGTGTAGAACATGGATGTTTACATTGTTTCTGTAATTGACAACTTCATCATCAGTGTTCTAGTGTTCAAGGGATTGATGCTAGGATTCTGATGTGATCTTAAGATCTTAGTATTTAATGCATGTATTAAGATGGGAATCACCAAGGGATTGGGGTTTCTAATTAATGTATCAATCAGGATAGTAAGAGATTACATCTTGATGATAAGAAAAAGGTTGATTAACATCACATGGAAGATAACTCATTAGAGGAATTGATTCATACATAAGTTCATGCTTGAGGGAAATTGATATCTGAGTACTTGTTTAAATTATAATTTACATTTTATTTGTTTATTAAGTTTTAATTCAATTCAATTTAATTTCTGGTGACAAGAAATCAATGCAATCAATAATCTTTTGTTGATTCAACTTAAGTATATATGGTTAGTCGGTGTTTGAACACAAATCCTCGTGGGAACGATCTTTACTCATCATTTTATTACTTGTGTGACTAGTACACTTGCTAAATACACAACAAGTTTTTGGCGCCGTTGCCGGGGATTTGTTCTTCAACATTGACAGACACCATTAGTATTAGAGATTGAATCTTTTATTTTTCAGCACTTTATATTTTTGTGTGAATTTTTGTTCAAATTCAATTATGGTGTATGCGAGGTACTATTGATCTAAATTCTCTGTTGTTTGACCCAGAATTAGAAAGGACAATTAGGAAGAACATGAAGGCAGTAAGAAGAAGACAGTTACAAGAAATAGGTGAATCAAGTGTGACAATTCAAGAAGAAATTATGGCAGAAAATCACAGACCACCACCACCACAGAGGACACTGGGAGATTACATGACTCCCACTGTCATCCCACCCATTGGGAGTGTTGTTAGACCTACAGTGGAGCCCAACAATTTCGAATTGAAGCCTGCTCTAGTACAATTGGTGCAGAAGGAACAGTTTGCTGGAACCAGTGCAGAAGATCCATACCTGCACATTGAAATTTTTTTTACTGTTGAGTGATACTGTGAAAATCAATGGGATGACCAGAGATGCTATCTTGTTGAGGTTGTTCACTCATTCACTGAAGGATGATGGCAGGAGATGGTTACAGTCACTACCACAAGGAAGTATCACAACTTAGGATGATCTGCAGACCAAGTTCTTAGCCAGGTTCTTTTCAGCATCCAAGAGGGAGAAATTGAAGGATGAGATCACAGGGTTCAAGCAAAAAGAGTCAGAGTCTATCTATGAGGCTTGGGAGAGGTTCAAGACACTTTTGAGGAAATGTCCACAACATGGTATAGAAGTGTGGAATCAAGCAGCAATATTTCTCCAAGGGTTGACAACCAACACTAGGACATTGGTGAATGCCACTGATAACTCATATTTTGTTACACTTATTTATTACTCTTGGTTGGTATTTTTATGATTTATTTGAATTAAATAAAGGTCTTTTGGGTCAATTCACAATTTTAGATTTTAGTTGAGTTTAATTGATTTTCGTCATAATTTTCCAGATTTACACTACTTCCGTATTTTGACCATATCTCACTCTACAGATGTCCGATTGACTCCTTTCTTGTTGCTTTTTGCGGCTAACAGATAGGGCTACAATCTCTATTTCCGCTACTGAAGCCCAATTCGGACGGGAAGTTGGTCGAAACTTGATCTCAAGATGATGTGTTTTGCTGGAATTTTATTTTGACGTTTGAACTTGTAATTCACATTAGGACCCAATGTGTTTAGGGCCCAAGGCCATGTTTTATTGTTTTATTTTATTTTATTCAGCTTTTATTTTATGTTTGGGCTGAAGCGGTGAAACCCTAGCCGTCCTGCGTGACGGCTATTTAAGGGAGACTCTAGGAAACCCTTCGGCAGTCAGTTTTTGACAACAGAAAAGTTCTCTCTGAGTTTTTATTCAATTGCGTTCTTCATCTTTTTCTTCTTCTTCTTTTTATTTCAATTATGTTAACCTTAGCCATGCGAGGCTAAGAACCTGTTAATCAACCTAAGGGTAATGGATTCCATGGATTAGTCTTGAGGATCTGCATTTATTTCAAATCAGTTTTGTTTCCCTTCCCAACTCAGATTGATATCGTGCGATCGTAGATATTTAATCTGAGGTTCGCGATTGTGATTATGGAAAGGGATTAATCATCAGATTTGATGATTAGGTTGATTGACCCTATGACCTTAAATCAAGCGGGCTGATACTCTGTGATTGTATGAGTAGAAGCATCGTCTTTGATCAAATGCTAAGCGATCGCTTAGAGAGGGTTGTCAATTGGAAATAAGGATTGTAATCCGATTGACAAATCAATCACGATTCTGATATCTTCTTATCCTAGGAAAGACGTCCATGGATCCCAAACCTTAGGTTGGTTGTCTTTAATTATGAATTTTACATCCAATTTTATCTTCTGCCTTTTTAAACTGAAATCAAAACAAACCCCCCTTTTATCTTCTGTCATCATAAACGATTTTTACCTAAGCAATTTCCTTGAGAGAGACGACTTAGGGTTTCCACTCTACTACAAATTTTCTGGACCCTAAAGAATTAATTTTTAATTTGCGCGAGTTCGACAGCTCGTGTCAGCCACCGCTGGTGGTTCATTGACAACCAAGACCCCTCAGGAGGCCCTTGACATATTTGAGTCCCTAGCATCTTAGGAGTTTGACAATGCTCCAGTGAATGACAGAAGAACGGGAATTATAAAACTTGATGGCTATGATGCTTTGTTAGCCAAGAATGATGCAGATGATGCAGATGCAGAAACAACAACAACAACTGGATGCTCTCACTAAGCAGCTATCTTATCAGAAGGTTGCTTCTGTGGACACTAATTCTGTGTGTGCCATTTGTGGGAAGAGCCATGTTACGGATGATTGTGATTACGGGGGATCAGTTGAACAAGCAGAAGTGAATGGGGTATGGTATGATCAGAGGAACCACAACAACCAGGGGCGAAATATGTATATTTCACCATGGAAGAATAAGAATCAACACCCAGGGTTCAATTACAGTTCCAATCATCAGTTGAATCCTCCACTGCATCCTCTTTCAACACACTCATCACAACAAGGTGATACCTCTGCATAGGAGAAAGATTTTGCCTAGTTATCTAAGACTACTCAAGATTATATTCAGGGGTCAAATTCTTTCAGAGAGGAAACTTTTTCTTCCATGCAAGAGACAAAAACAGCATTCAGGAACCAGGAAGCATCTATCCGGAATTTGGAGACACAATTGGGCAGTTGTCTAGACAGATATCTGAGAGGCCACAGGGAAAGTTCCCTGGTGATACCATGGTGAATCCAAAGGAGCATTGCAAGTCCATAATTACAAGAAGTGGGCTTGTGCTTCAACCGGTTAAGAAGAAAGTGGAAGAAAAGAAAGATGAGGAGGAAGTTGTCATCGAAGATGTTGTTGTTGAAAAAGAAGAAGAAGAAAAAGTTGAGAAATATAAGAAAGAAGATGAGGCAGTAGTTGAAAATAATTCTTCACCCAAGAAGTTGATGAAGTGGGAGAAGAAGAAAATGGCTGATAAGCAAGACCAGCCAATTAATTTGTTTCCATATGCCAAAGTTCCTTATCCTCAACGGTTGAAGCAGGAAATTCAGAAGCAGCATTATGCAAGGTTTCTGGATATTTTCAAGAAGTTGCAGATCAACATTCCATTTGCTGAAGCTTTGGAGAACATGCCACACTATGCAAAATTCATAAAGGATCTTCTGTCTAAGAAGAGGAAGTTGAAGGATGGTGAGACTGTGGCATTAACAGAGGAATGTAGTGCCCTGATTCAGAAGAAGCTTCCTCCAAAGTTAAAAGATCCAGGAAGTTTCAGCATCCCTATTGCCATTGGAGATGTGGAAGTAGGAAAAGCACTGTGTGATTTGGGGGCCAGCATAAATTTGATGCCATTGTCTGTCTATAGAGCTTTGGGGATTAACAAGTTGAAAGATAACAATGTTATTCTGCATCTAGCAGATAGATCCATCAAGAGACCAGAAGGGGTGGTAGAAGATGTTCTGGTCAAGGTGGATAAATTCATTTTTCCTGTGGACTTTGTGATACTTGATATGGAAGAAGAAGATACTGAAAGCCCTCTACTTCTAGGGAAGCCATTCTTAGCAACTGCCAGATCCCTGATTGATGTTGAACAAGGGAAGCTGATGCTAAGGGTGAATGAAGAAACAATTACAATAGATGTGTTTGAAGCCATTAAACATCATGTAGATGTGGAGGATTGTTTCAGAATTGATATCATACAGGAGGTAGTGGAAGAAGTGAGGAGAAGAAGACTTGTCATTTGAGGAAGACAAATTTAAGGAAGAGATAAGTGGGGAATATTATCAGGAGAAACCAGTGGTTGAAGAGTTGGAAAAGAAGGTAGATGACATTCCTAAGGGAGCACCTAAGGTGGAACTGAAGGAATTTCCTTCAAATCTTAAATATGTGTTCCTTGGAGATGATCAAACATACCCAGCCATTATCAATGCATTGTTGTCTGAAAGGGAGGAAGTGAAGTTAGTTGAGGTGCTCAAGAAGAACAAGACAGCCATGGGTTGGTCATTTTCAGATATTAAGGGTATCAACTCTTCCTTCTGCACTCATAAGATATTGATGGAAGAGGAGGTTAAACCAGTGAGGCAACCACAGAGAAGACTCAATCCCACTATGAAGGAGGTAGTGAGGAAGGAGGTGGTGAAGTTGCTGGATGCTGGGATGATTTATCCTATTTCAGACAGTGCTTGGGTGAGTCCAGTTCAGACAGTGCCTAAGAAAGGAGGGATGACTGTTGTAAGGAATGAGAACAATGAATTGATCCCTACAAGAACAGTCACTGGCTG